TGTCTGGTCCTGACTCAATTATTTACAAACAGCCATCATATAGCTGGAATATTGCTGAGTGCGGCGTTAAACAAACAACAAATGCATCTTGGGAGTCAAAGTGCATATGGAAGAGTGTATAAGTCTAAGAGAGGGGAGCGATTTATTTCATATTGAGGTCCATACAAGTTAATGCTTGTTTCAAAGAGAAAAAGGGCTGAATTTTCACACAAAAAAATGTCTTACAAAAATCCAAAATTCCATTTTCTCACTAGAGGTGCTGGCTCAGCACTTATTGTGCAGTATACTTCATGTAAGTGGATGTTTTCATAAAAAACTAATGATTTTTTTCTTTTAATATATGGTGTCAAAATATGGAGAATACAATAAGCAACACAGTTATACTCTAACAGTAAGTGTTTTATATTTCTGTTGCAACAAAACTTGTTTGGCATAAAAAATGGCTAAAATAATCTGTATTGACACTTGTCTTTCATTTCACTTTACTTCATATTAAAGGAGGGGGCACGGGTGGCCCAGTCGTCTAAGGAGGGGCGATTCGCTGTGCAGAGTTGCGTCCCTTGGGCACGCCAGAAACCTATGATTGTGGGTTCAAATCCCGGTTCGCCCCGATTATGTTTCTAGGTTTGTCAGCACCATACCCGTGCTCTTGGGTTTCACCGAAGTGGTAAACGTCTAAGACCTGCATCACTTCGGGCTTTCCTCACATATTAAGCTGAAACGCCGTGATATAACTGCAATACTGTTAAAAGCGGCGTTAAACCCAACTCACTCACTCATATTAAAGGAAAAAAGCACAGATTATATTGTCTGTAACAGAAATGTGTTGAAAATTAAGACTATCATTTTTTATCATTCCATTGAAGTAATTAGAAGGTTATGGTAAAATGAGTGATCGGGATCAGATTTTAGATGTTGACCGGAGTAGATAACTCTTTGTAGTGGTTTTTGGAAAAGTTATCATTTGACCAATTTTTAAATAAATATAAAAGCATCTAGGATAAGAATCTTGTGTAAATGGGTTGTCAGTTAAAATGTGTTCTGTTAGAATCTATAAAATAGAGCACAAAAACATTTCCCAACTAATTTCAATCCAAGGTGGTATTTTACTGCAGCTTCAATTTACAATAATTATAGCACTTACTAGGAGGAAGAAGTTTCATATCTTATTTGGCCTACAAAACAAATATTTGGTTATATATGTAACTATGATAATTAATTTCTTCTTCATAATATTTTGAGTTTCTTCTTGTGAATCATAATGACCACAATTGTAAGTACTTCAGATACATTTCCACTGTCGAAATCTGCATATCTGGAAGCCATAAATCAAGCAGTTACTGGCCCATTTGATTGTTGTCTGCTGTAAAAGTCATGTTGTTGTTTAGTTTGACACTAATTGTTATTTAAGTTATTCACTATCTTTAGTTTCTCCAGATGCTTAGTGACATGTATGTCCAGCTCACATCTTCATGGCACCACGGACGTATCACATTGATCTTCAGACAGTGAACGTGACACAGAAACTGGTAAGACCTGTCTCTAATCCTTACGTTGTCATTATCTACATCTGTGTCATCAGGGATAGTCGTCAGTTGCTCAGTGATGCGGATTGGCATTGGATCACCATCAAACTAAACAATGGGTAGGTTCCATCTACTTACTTCCGGCCACGTCCTTCTGGTGCATATTGAACAGGAGTTGGTGTTTACACAGAGTTTGTTTGATCATTTCAACCAATGTTCTCTTGGATGGTGGTAACACATGGGTCATACCCTTGAATCTTGTCCGGTGGAGCACAATGTGTTGTACTTCTGTTTAGAAATACTAAATCAAATGTCATTTATGTCTGATATCTCCGGTCTGGAATATAAGCTGCACACAAACTTCTCAATTCAAGAAACGTTTTCTGATGGTATCTGGGACAACCCCCGACACTTAAACGTAGATGAGAAGGCTTCCGATGACCGGACCATTTGCAAGGTTGACACTTTCCCTTTCTGATGAATGCAGCTGTGTAGTCGCACCCTGTGAAAGTGTACAGAGGGAAGTACATGACACATCTTTGCCAATTATCAAAGCAGCTGCACTGATGTCAATGTAGCGCCTTGTGTTGATGCAGCTGTTTCCTGTATCCATCCAGACATGTCCACCTTTCAGGTGTTTCAAGTGATGAAGCAACAAAACTACTTTGTCCAACTTCATCACGAGGGGGGTCGGTCGGGTAGCCTCGTGGTTAAACCGCTTGCTCGTCACGCGAAGAGCTGGGTTCGATTTCCTACATGGGTACAATGTGTGAAGCCGAATTTCTGGTGTCCCTTGCCCTGATATTGCTGGAATATTGCTAAAAGCGGCTTAAAGCCATACTCACTCATCACGAGTCGCTATATAATTGCAATAATCTTGGACGCGACGTTAAACCCTATTTCACCTCACCTCACTCATCACGAGGGGTTGTTTCCCAGCATGCCGCTGTTTGATTCCTGAATAGGAGGTATTGCATGGCGAGCTAATCTCCATCATCTGTCTGTTAAATGGTGGCCCAGTCGTCCTGAGGTGCTGCAATTCACTGTTCAAGGTTCGAATCCCGGTTTAGCACCAAACTATGCTTGTGGGTTTCACCAAAGTGGTAAATGTCTGAGACCTGCATCACTTTGGGTTTTCCTCCCAAATCAAACTGACAAGCTGTGTTAATCCCAACTCGCTCACTAAATCTGTCTGTTAACAGCAAGCAATCTTTGATTTTTGCGGAATGCAACAACATCCTGTAGCTGGGTGAAGTTGTCTAATGGTTGAAACTTGATGTCTGACTTGTTGTCCAGTCTATCCTTGACCCCCAGTGGCCACTGTTGTCTGTGGCGACTTGCCCAGGACTTGTAATCGGGTCTGTCCTTGTGCCCCAGTAGCCACAGTTGTCCATGGTGACTTGCCCTTGACTTGTAGTCGGGTCTGTCCTTGTGCCCCAGTAGCCACAGTTGTCCATGGTGACTTGCTCTTGACTTGTAGTGTTTGACTGTATTTAATGGAGTACAAGCCATGACAAATAATTAGATTTTCATTCCTGCCTGCCTGCCTCACAACCCAACACTCGCATTTTATTGTTCCGAAGTATCTACAGGTGAGCGAGTTGGGTTATATCATGATGGATGCCCATACATCTTGATGTCTGACTTGTAGTCTGACTTGTAGTCTGATCTGTCATAGTCCCATGGTAGCCACTGTTGCCCATGGTGACTTGCCCCTGACATTCAGTCTGTTGGACACTGGTGAGTCATGGCTTGGGTAGATACTGCTCCGTACCGTCTTCTTACCTTGTTGATCAAGTGTAAGCCCATGGTCTTATGTTCTGATGGTTCTCCGGGTTTGTTTTTGTTCAGCACTGCACTCAGCCATTTTCCAGCTATATGGCAGAGATGTGTAAATAATATTGTCTGGATCAGACAATCCAGTGATTGATATCATGATCATCAATGACATGTGTCAACTAAGTCAGTTGGCCTGACCACCCGATCCAATTTGTAGCCTCTTAGCATGGGAATCTTCATGGGACGGTTCTCTGGTGACGGTTGTGACACCGGACACTTCCTCATAGAACCCGTGTTATGGTAGCCAATAGTAGCCACTGTATGTGCATGATCCAGCCGGTACCAGGACGGTAACCATTGTCCATGGTCAGACGTCATGCCTCTCTAAGTTGGCTTTGATGGTCAAAAGGACAAACACACAATCTTTGTATCACACACCAACTCCTGTTCAATATGCACCAGAAGGACATGGCTGGAAGTTTGTAGATAGAACATATCAATTGTTTAGTTAGATTGTGATCAAATGCCAAGCAGCATCACTGAGCAACTGACGACCAACCCCGATGATTCAGATGTAGATGTAGATATTGCTGATGTGAGCATCACTGACAGTTCGGACAGTGAAAGTGACACTGACACGCATGTAGAAGATCGATGTGGTATGTTTGTTGTGCCTTGAAAATGTGAGCTGGACATACATGTCACCAAGCATCTGGAGAAACTGAAGACTGTAAATGGCTTAAGTAGCAATTTGTGTCATACTTAACAACATCTCGACTTTTTCAGCAGACAACAATCAAATGGGCCAGTAATTATTTGATTTATGGCTTCTAGATATGCAGATTTCGACAGTGGAAATATATGTGAAGTACGTAAAATCATGTGGTCATTTCGATTTACAAGAAAAAACCCAAAAATATTGTGAAGAAATTAATTATCATAGTTACATATATAACCAATACATGTTTTGTAGGACAAATATGAAACTTCTTCCTCCTAGTAAGTGCTTATAAGTAAGCCTAGTAATTGTATATTGAAGCTGCAGTAAAATACCACCTTGGATTGAAATTTTTGAGAAATGTTTTATGGGTTTTTTTAAGGTTCTGATTTTTTGTGTAATGGAAAGTTTTTTGCTTTCTTTATTTTCGTGGATGCTGACAAACCAAGGGGAGTCTGTTTTTGAGAAATGATTTCAGTTTTTTTTTAAGGTCCTGTTATTGCAAATAAATTTTCTTCCATTTTATCGATTTCTTTTTCCAGTGAGTGAATTGATTGCTAGCTTGTAAATTGCTTTTGCAGTCTTTCACCAGCCTTATCACAGCATGGAACCTGTTTCAGCGGATTCACTTGCAAAACAGGACGTGTCAAACCAGCAAGCTTCTCTGTATTATGTTTTATTTCACAAGCAACACTGTACAAGATGTGATGAAGCACTACCAGTAATACTGTATTAGTCCTAAACTTCCCAGCCAAGTATATTTCAATTCACCGTTTTGTTGTGCCATGAGCAAATCCGATAACACAGAAATACAGGTGGTGTTTTTGTGTCCTTAGGGGACGATACAACCTTCAATAAACACTCAGTTTGTACAGTCCCCCCACCAGTGTCAACTATATTGCTGGTAGATACACCTTAATCAAATTGGGCAATAACTTCACTCAGCAATATTCCAGCTACATGACCGTGGTCACGCAAAGTCGTCTTTAACGGCAAGCATGGGTTGGCTGAAGACCTATTCTACCCCGGATCTTCACTGCCAGCTTACATATGAGTAAGTTTAACAGTGATTGAGTGAATGTTTAATGCAAAAGTCGGCAATATTCCAGCTATAACACAGTGCAGTAAACATTGTCAAATCCGTAACAGGCAAACCAGTGATCAGTGGTCTTGACAGAACTTTCCAGGCCTTTCCAAGGTTTCTGGTAGGCCTGGGGGCAACTCTACCGTCTGTAAGGACAAAAGATGCCCGTCAGATGTTTGCCACTATAATGAAACCCATCAACACAATGAGTGAGTTTGGTTTAAGCTGCTTTAAACAGTATGTCGGTTATATCAAGAGGTGTCAGCATGAACACAGATCCAGACCAGGTCCCTGAGATCAGTGGACCCTGGCAGATGTTCTGGAAGCTGGAAACGAGGGCCACCTTTGCTCCTTAGAGAAATCGTACTGTTCAGATCAACAGAACCTTCATGCCCTGCTAAATATTTGTTTAAAACCACTTCGTTATTGTGTCGTGTCCATGGTTCGGTATTGATTGATGTCTGGCTGCGGTGAGGTGTGGAGTTTAGTGACGACTCCGCAGACACCTACTGGGGCCCCTCCGTGCAGACGTACTTGGACACTCCATGTGTGGGCAGACATTTTGACCTGAAAATACAAATATTGGTGTTGCATTATGAATCCAATAAAAGTTTGTGTCTCCATTTATATCAGACAAACCAAACAGTAATCAGCTTGCACATTTGATGTTTAATTCTAATACTTGGGCCTCCCAAATGAGTTCAAGACAGAATTTGACACATCCAGCTGGTTCGACTGAAGTTATTTTTCATGTGTATCAGAGATGATCTAAAACACTCTTTCTTCTATGTTCTGTTTGCATGGAAACTGGTGTTTGTGTGCATTGGTTCTAAAACATAATCCATGTCTCAGAAGTGTCAAACATGGGGGTCACTGTCATAACGAACTATCAAGACAATTATCAATAAAAATCAAAGGTTCGCCACAGTGAGTATTTTATAAAGAGTGAGTGAGTATGGTTTTACGCAGCTTTTAGCAATATTACAGCAATATCATGGCGGGGGGACACCAGAAATGGGTTTCACACATTGTACCAGTGTCGGGATTCGAAGCCGGTTTTTCGGTGTAACGAGCGAACGCTTTAACCACTTGGCTACCTGACCGCCCGGTTCGCTACAGCCTACATACTGACGATTCGGTAAAGAATTGCAATTGGCAACTGCAAGCACTTTAGCCTCGGCTTTCCAGAGTATTTTATCTCAATTCTATCATGACCATGGCTTTGTTTTGGAAGTGACATCACCAGCAATCTCTTATCACTAAGCATAGAGTTTCTCTCGCTAAAAAATGAGCTTGAAATCATCAACCAAAGAAAATGAAATTAAAGTAGAAATGAAGCTATGGTGGCGGATGAGTCCTGGAAACACAAAACGAAGATATACAGTACACTGGCTTATTGAGGATGTATGCACTGGATACAGTGAGAAACGGGTTACTTTCACCTCACCTTCAGATAGTTATTTCAATCATCTGACTTCGACCAGCTTCAGAATACTCAGTACAGCCTGAGTGGAAACTTTGATTTACTAGTTTGTAATAGTGCTTGAACGAGACTAAACTGTTTACAATGTTTTCATTTTCTCTCAGTTTTATTCAGTTCCAATTAGTAACATATGTTACAATATTTGAAGCATCGAGAACTGGTTCAGAATTTTAGCCCTCAAATGCTGCTAGTCTATGAGGACTACTATCATTGCATCATTGTCTCATGTGGCGCACTGACACGAATATCGAAGGCTGACAAGATGATAAGAGCCACATGTGGACTGTCACCTTCAGCATGAGATCCCCCTCACTCCCCTGCCGCCCAGGGTGGGTGATTCCGCCTTCCTCCGGGGTGGGTATGGCTTGGGAGTATGCAGCATCCAGACAGGGAGGGGGGTGACAGTACAGCAGTCTCCCCTGCAGAAACACAGCATCAGTCAACTGGCTCATCTTTTCTTACTAAAATTATAAACCTTCAGTGACCTCTTCCTTTTGAGCTGTCACTGTATTTATATCTCATAAAATCACAAACTTGTGCAAGACCTGGGCCACAAAGGCACTGATAATCACATTGCCCTTAAGAATCTTTTTCAAGAACATAACAGTTACCAAAAGTGTGAAAAGTGTGTCCAAACATGAAATTGTTGATAATGTTTCAGATTTTTCTTTCTAGTTGAGAAACAAGATAAAACACTTCCCCTCATGATTTTACACGATGTACAGTTGCCTATGGTGCCTAGGATATATTAACATTTCATTCAATAACGTAAAACTAAACATTAAAGCCGTACTAACACACACTGACAAAATTTCAGTTATACCATGGCGTGTCAATTTAATGTGGGAGGAAAGCCTGAAGCGGTGCAGTTCTCAGACGTTTACCACTTTGGGGAAACAATCGGTGCGAACCGGGATTCGAACCTACACTCATTGGTTACGTGTGTACCCCCAAGGGACGCAATCCTGCACAGCAACTTGCGGCGCCTCAGACGACTGGGCCATCGGTGCCATTGTTCAATCCCCTCACTTAAACCCCAGAAGCAGAAGCAACCTTGATGCAATTGCTAATAAAACCAGACAAAGGACATGGCATGTCCAGGGCCCACTTGCACAAAGCGACCTCAGTGCAACGATTATTGTACGCCTATGTTAAAATGTGGGAGTTACGATCATCTTAGCAATAGCAGAGTGGAACAAATGAAATACATGTACTACATACCGCCATCTACAGTGTTGTTTCTTGTTCCACCAGCGATAGACAGGGAAAATAGATTAGCACAGATTTTGTAGTAAAACTGAGGTACTGCAAATTGAAAGACATCAAGATTTACCTCAAAACGTTTTTCTTATATTTTCATATATTTCGCCGAATGCCAAGTGAAGTATGTTGGTTAACACGGCACCCAGCAATATTCCAGCTACATGACGGCGACCTATCGAGTATGGACCAGACAATCCAAAGATCTATACTGTAAGCACCGATCCAGTCCATGAGTGTCCAACCAAGTCACTTACTTGAAGTTACTTCCAGCATAGGTCGCTGCATGAGTTCCAACCAGGAATCCCCACGGAGAACAAAGAACCAATGCTATACTGAACGGAGCGACTATAGTATAGGTACATCCATACGCGTTGAGAAGTGCATGTGCTGTAGGCCGGATGTTCTTCTGACATCTTCTGACTGGGGGAGCGGGATGTCATCGCTGTATATAATCTCCGGTGTCTTGCGTGGGATGCGTTCACAGATATATCAGAGTTAAGGTAAATAACATGGCAACAGTGGCTTGTTTTGGACAACGTATTATAACAAACCCAACGTTCTTCCACCCCTTCCACAAAACAATCTGACCTAACAGTACACGTAGACAAAAAGTTGCACTTTTCAAAAACAGGTCGCACTGGTGCATGTTTTCTACAACTAAATCCCATCTCCCCAACAAGTCATTCACCGTCCGTGAAGGATACGAGAGGAACTGGCGGTATTTGGACACAAAGATGGGAAAAACCAGTTCTGGACAGTCTCACAACATCAACGTCCGCTCGTCAAACAGCGTCTGCAACAGGACACGGCCTTGTAATAAGTGTGGACATAGCAAACGGATGACATGCTCCATGACAGTTGTAAGCGTCTACCAAGATCTAAAAATAACATTGTTATGATTATGATTGTTATTATGGGCAAGTGAAAAGTGAATGTGGCCTTGCCCTTGATACAGAAAACTTTCACACTTCCAGTTTTCTTCATGTGTTGTACATGCCACTCTCAGCAATATTCAAGTTTATGTACAATGGCGGTTTGTAAATAATCGAGTCTGGACCAGACAATCCAGTGATTGACATGAGGATCGATCGACGCAACTGGGATACCACGACATGCATCGCCCAAGTCAGCGTTTGCCGCCTTTAAGGACAAGCATGGGTTGCTGAAGACAATTCTTCAGTCCATACAAATTGTACTTATAGGCTTTTGGTCTTCCAGGCAAGTATTTGTGAATCAAGATAGCTCGCTTGCTTGCTTGCTTGATGTTCAGTACCATACGCCATGGTGGGTACCCTGAAAAGATTATGTAGGAGTGAGTGAGCATGGTTTTGCGCCACTTTTAGCAATATTCTAGCAATATCACGGCTTCACACATTGTACCCACACTGTAAAACCATACCGTAATATTTTACGGTAAAAGGTTGGCAACCGTGCTGACGCGCATTTACCGTAGTACTACAGTATATACCGTAGTACTTTTATACTGTACTTTTTACAGTAAATGACCGTCAGCACGGTTGCCAACCTTTTACCGTATTAAAACCATTCTTCTACCATTACTACAGTAATTTACTGCTGAATAGTGAATGTACAAAATCACTTGAACAACAGATTTGTCAAAAAACAAGTTTTATTCAGTTAACTGACTGGGTATTTATATGATCAGTAAACAAATACCTTCTGCAATTTGTGAAATAAAGTGAGTGAGTCATTGATTAAATAGACTAATAATAACAACTCAGAACTGCAATCCTGCACAAGAAAGTATTTTCTCCTTAACATTACCAGTTACTTTATGACATGAAACAGATGATAAATATAAGTATGTTAACTTAACATGGCTTGATGTACTCGAAGTGATCTACATGCCCAGTTTACAGGAACTAAAAGTGATGTACACACTCAGTTTACAGGTACCATAAGTGATGTACAAAATCAGTTTACAGGTACTCAAAGTGATGTACAAAATCAGTTTACAGGAACTAAAAGTGATGTACACACTCAGTTTACAGGTACCATAAGTGATGTACAAAATCAGTTTACAGGTACCATAAGTGATGTACAAAATCAGTTTACAGGTACTCAAAGTGATGTACAAAATCAGTTTACAGGTACCATAAGTGATGTACAAAATCAGTTTACAGGTACCATAAGTGATGTACAAAATCAGTTTACAGGTACTCAAAGTGATGTACAAAATCAGTTTACAGGTACTCAAAGTGATGTACACACTCAGTTTACAGGTACCATAAGTGATGTACAAAATCAGTTTACAGGTACCATAAGTGATGTACAAAATCAGTTTACAGGTACCATAAGTGATGTACAAAATCAGTTTACAGGTACCATAAGTGATGTACAAAATCAGTTTACAGGTACTCAAAGTGATGTACAAAATCAGTTTACAGGTACTCAAAGTGATGTACACACTCAGTTTACAGGTACCATAAGTGATGTACAAAATCAGTTTACAGGTACTCAAAGTGATGTACAAAATCAGTTTACAGGTACCATAAGTGATGTACACACTCAGTTTACAGGTACCATAAGTGATGTACAAAATCAGTTTACAGGTACCATAAGTGATGTACAAAATCAGTTTACAGGTACTCAAAGTGATGTACACACTCAGTTTACAGGTACCATAAGTGATGTACAAAATCAGTTTACAGGTACCATAAGTGATGTACAAAATCAGTTTACAGGTACCATAAGTGATGTACAAAATCAGTTTACAGGTACCATAAGTGATGTACAAAATCAGTTTACAGGTACTCAAAGTGATGTACAAAATCAGTTTACAGGTACCATAAGTGCTGTACAAAATCAGTTTACAGGTACCATAAGTGATGTACAAAATCAGTTTACAGGTACTCAAAGTGATGTACAAAATCAGTTTACAGGTACTCAAAGTGATGTACACACTCAGTTTACAGGTACCATAAGTGATGTACAAAATCAGTTTACAGGTACCATAAGTGATGTACAAAATCAGTTTACAGGTACCATAAGTGATGTACAAAATCAGTTTACAGGTACCATAAGTGATGTACAAAATCAGTTTACAGGTACTCAAAGTGATGTACAAAATCAGTTTATAGGAACTAAAAGTGATGTACACACTCAGTTTACAGGTACCATAAGTGATGTACAAAATCAGTTTACAGGTACTCAAAGTGATGTACAAAATCAGTTTACAGGTACTCAAAGTGATGTACACACTCAGTTTACAGGTACTCAAAGGGATGTACAAAATCAGTTTACAGGTACCATAAGTGATGTACAAAATCAGTTTACAGGAACTAAAAGTGATGTACACACTCAGTTTACAGGTACCATAAGTGATGTACAAAATCAGTTTACAGGTACCATAAGTGATGTACAAAATCAGTTTACAGGTACCATAAGTGATGTACAAAATCAGTTTACAGGTACCATAAGTGATGTACAAAATCAGTTTACAGGTACTCAAAGTGATGTACAAAATCAGTTTACAGGAACTAAAAGTGATGTACACACTCAGTTTACAGGTACCATAAGTGATGTACAAAATCAGTTTACAGGTACTCAAAGTGATGTACAAAATCAGTTTACAGGTACTCAAAGTGATGTACACACTCAGTTTACAGGTACTCAAAGTGATGTACAAAATCAGTTTACAGGTACTCAAAGGGATGTACAAAATCAGTTTACAGGTACTCAAAGTGATGTACAAAATCAGTTTACAGGTACTCAAAGTGATGTACACACTCAGTTTACAGACACTCCAAGTGATGTACAAGCTGAGTTTACTGGCACTCCAAGTGATGTACATGCTCAGTTAACTTTCTCTCTAATTTGACAAACTTCATAAAACATCTAATGGTGATCCAATGAACTATGATATCCTTAGTTTCATTGAAAACAATTAAATCTATCATAGCAAAACAGAATACCACTGAAACTTCAGGTTTCAGGTTTTAAGCTACATAAAAAAATTACGGCAATCTGCAGCAACTCTCAAAATTTAAACAATGCAGCCCACTTTAACAAGTGAATTAAATATCTAATTTGCAGTTTTTATGTAAATGTTGCTAACACCTATCATTGATTTTTACTTATTAAAACTCTGATATCCTTACCTTCATTGAAAATAATGAAATCTGCCACCAATATACATTAACAGCACATTAAAATAGGACTTAAGGGTTCTAGTTCAGTCATGCTTAAATCTTCAAGCAAGTTACAGTCACTAATCATGATCATGTAGTCACTATACAGCTCATGATAAATAAAACACCTTGGTTAAAGATAAAATTTGCATTACCAGTCTGCTTTACATTTATCAAGTGGAAATAATAAATCTTTAACTATTTCCATAAAACAATAACTGCAAACTCATTACCACTCGTAGTTCAGCATGTAAAACAACAACTTAAAGCTGTATTAGATATATAAGTTACAGTTCCTTGCGATCACTTTATGGTTCAAGCCACTCAAAGTCAGAAAGGCTGCTGATCAGCTTCAATACTTTGGCACCCATCTGAGTTTTCTTCTTTTTCCCTTTATTGCCTTTGGATCCCCTATCAGGATTGATACCAATGAAGCACCTGAAAAAAACAAAGGAAGATTCACTGCCATAATGTTCTGGCTACATATATTCACTTTGTCAAGTAAATTTAACATTTAACAATGGACTTAGCAGGGGCGTAGTCAATCTTCAAAGGTCAAATCCAGGTTTAATACCAAAATACAGCAAAACTAGTCAAATGTGTTTGTGGCCTTTGTGCTAGCTACCACCACTGCAATTTTCAACTCAATTGCTTAATCAATGTCTGACCAAAAAAAACAAAATGGTATTGGCGGCCATATTGGAAATCTGATCCGAATGCCTTGAACACATCTGAGTGTCATCATTGGTTTGGAACACACCAAGCTTCAGCTTCATCGGCCCAGTAGTTTTGAAGACGACCTTTTCAGCATTTTCAATATGGCTGCCATGACCTTTGGTCCAGGTGGGCTAAAAAGCAACCAAACAGTAGTCTATCCCCCAAAATACAAAATATAAATGGAATCTCATTTGCATGCTACAAATAATTTTCATTTTACCGAATTACCTCAGAAAATAGATAAACTGCAGAACCGATGCTAGAATTGTTGAGTGTTTCTGCAACCAATCTTCCTTGGTTTTAAATGTCCCATTTGTGTTTAGAAAAATACTTCATGGAAAATTTTCTTAACATATCACACATTTAAATATCATAGAAATTTACCTTTGAATGAACTCAAGTGTAGCTGCAGCCCCGGTCTGGTATTGCAGGTTGAAGATGTAGTATGATGCAAAGAGGGCTGAGAACGAATCCATGAAACTGTGACATCTTGGGATGAGGATTTGGCGGTCACACATTACCATGTAGCTCTTCCCAGCTAATACAGAGTCACCTGTACATATTTAAGTTGAAAATCATAAGGCCTTTTCTTTTTTTATTTGTTGAATCACAGATTTGTTTTTAACTGAAGTAAGATGTGAGGGGCATTTTAAGAAAGTATATTGTCATTCGGTCCAGGTGGGCTAAAAATAATGGTCATTTTGAATGTCGCCATCTCTGCCACAGAAAGCAGAAGCCCATTCCACAAAACAACCTCACGCTAAGATGATCTTAAAGAGATCATCTAAAACTAGGCCTTGACGAGTCATTTCACATCACAGGCTTACGAAGGTCGTAGCGTGAAGGTTGCCTTGCCTTGGGGACCCGTTTTCAATGCGATTTTCACACCATGACCATAGCAAGCCACTGGAATGCAGTATTACCCACAATCATCTTAGTTTTAGTTTGTTTTGTGGAACCGCAGCCTGGTCTACATATGACAAGGACAATGTGCAATGGAATCGCGGAATCCAGGGGGTCTGCAAGTTTTCACCACATCCAAGAGTAGACTACAGTCACTGTACACAATGTTACAGTAAACAAACTCCCATTGTAAACAACTGACATGCCAACAATTGATTCAACATACCCAAAACCACCAACACAGGTGAATCTGTTTTACTGGAAGCCTGGACTTCTGCAGCAGTTGATGTTTCCTTAAGAAACAAGTGTTAAAACCTTTTATTTTCAGAAGAGTAACCATTTTAGTGAATTTAGCTTTGGTAAATGAAGTACATGAAAAGAGATGGAATGTAATACTAGAATAACAAGAACAATTAAAAGCTTCAAATAAAATATTTTCTTAAAAGACATCTTTTATATTCATTTGACAAATAATCAATATGGACTTAAGGAATGCTAGATATATATGTATTTATCTGAACGGATAATTTGTTGATGTGAATATCTAGGAGATTGCTTTAACAGAGTGCCCTTAAATAGCTCTCAGTTTTTAATCTTTTTCTAACCAAAGACCCAAGAAAGGTTCCAAAATCAAAATCTGCCTACATCATGTACATCTAAGAATATTTTAAACCTTAGACAATCACTAATCAGCTAACCCCCATACCCATAACCCCTCTACCTCAGAGATATAGCTGTCATAAAATGCATGCAAAATGTGTCTGTGCATCCCATAAATTCAGAAATTTACAGTCCCTGGTGATTGGGCAGGTAGCAAGTGTATTATATTCATAATATTAATTCCAGAAGTTAAAATACTGGGAAAATTGATCAAGATTCAGCAACCTGTATATTGAACTTACATCTACAACATAGAAAAGCTCTTCATCCTTTTCTCCAAGGTGTCCCATTATGCACAGTACCACTGCCGACAACCAAGCCTTCAGGTTATCTTGACTACTCTGTCGTCGTGCTTCATCAAAGATGAATTCATTTCCATCAGATGATTTCCTGAAGAAATTGTTTAGTCGAGGTCCTTTCTTGGCGTATGCATTTCCCAGAGCGGATCGCACATTAAAACCAAGTAATTCCTGGGAGTGACACAGAACTCCTTGAATACTGAACAGAAATGGCCATGATAATTTGAGATCCACCACTGACATTCCACTATTGATGTCCCTTCTCTGCAGAGCATAACATGACAACATGTTCTCTTCTATCTTGTTCACATCTTTTTTGTCAGAATTACACTGATTCATCTCAATCAGGGCATCCCTGATTTCCTCCATGACCTTCACTTTATCACCTTTCAACTCTGGCATCCATTTAACACAACCATAGGAATCCCTCCTTGTTTTGACTTCATTTCTGGAATCGTCACTACCAGATTCAGTTTCTGTATTCTGCATAGGCCGTTTCTTTCCTGACATGCAGAATTTTGAGGATCCGCGATTCAGATTTTGGTTCCTGGTCACTAATTTGTTTAACAAAGTGTCATACCCAGAGCCCACCACACTGTCATCAATTTTGTCTTGAAGACTTTGTGTATACTTAGCTACCATCCTTTGTGCAATGATCGAAAACTGAGGTCGGAGGGCATGATGTGTGTTTCGTCTTACAACATCCACAACCTTATGTACAACCTCCTTCTTGGCATCTGGTGTTAAGCGTTTACCCTGTACAAGGGCCTCCTTGGTTAAACAGTTCAGATCATCCCAGGGAAGTTCCATCTTAACCGGCCAATTGGGGTCTCGATTTGAATACATGATGGGTTTCGGACTTTTCGGTGAAAACTTCATGGACGAATCACTCGATGATGGCGAAGTAGGTGACAAAGGTGACATGGAAGAACAGCTACTTCCTGGAACTAATATTAATAGAAGTTAAATGTTGTTAATCTCAAATCAATGTCGCAGTGAGAAATACAGGAAGGGTGCTTGTTGGTGGGGTGGTGGTCTATGTGAGATGGGTGTGAGATGGGTGGTGGTTGGTGTGAGATGTCACAAATCTTGGGTATGTTATCATACATGGGTGACCATTTAATAATAGGTGTGTTACAATATAGGTGGGCCGATACTTACTGTGAACATTAATCGAGACATCATTAACTAAATTGGACAGGTGAAGGAAAAGGGAGCCGCCACTAACAGATGCAGTTCGGTAAAGTAAGCTGCACGAGAAGGGTTAACTGTTTCCAAATTTCCGAAAAAGACATTTTCTTTGCAAGACAATAAAATTGTGTTAAAAGTTTTTTCCTCGAAAGAATCGAATGTTGAAATACATTAAAAATAGATGTTATCTGTCAGGGAACTGAAAAAAAGTCAGGTATTAAGTTTTTTTACACAAGAAACATTTAAAGTAGAGGCAATGAATGCTAAATTCAAACACCCTCATCTGACATACGGAAAAGATTACATATATCTATTCAGATGATTGCTTACCAGCTGATATTCTGGTGGAACTCTGCATCAAGGATCTTCTCAAAAGTTTCCGTGCATGGACAGGTCGAATGTTTCCCTTCAGATCGTCTTCATGGATCCACTCTAAATCCTGAATGGTTACAACACCAAGTTTCTCCAACTCCTGAACAATTTCAGAGATAACACTTTCTTCCAAATTCCCCAATATGTCAACTACACTTTTTCTCAATGTTGCCCTTAGTCCATAGTCTGATACAGCTTTAGGACTTTGTGGAATATTGCCACTTTCACAACATATTTCCATTTGATCCATAGTGTTCTGTTCCATTGTGTTAGACTGAAATAGCTTGTCTCAATGACAAGAAGTTTGTTCCAGCTTCCTGGTACACAGCAACAGGGCAGTAATCTGCAAATTCAGTAATGGAGTTACATACTAAATTGCCAGTGTTTAAATCCTCCTCACATGCAAATAGTTCCATTGCAGGGACAAAGAAAAATACTCCACGGCTAACAACTAAATACAACTGCTCATTATTGACTAACATGCTTTGAATTTTTCCAATTGTTAACTCTGATACACTTGACTGATTTATTATCATGATATCTCCAATTCTGTACTGCACACCCTTGAAACTCAACTTGTCAGCTTTGAAAGTGTTTGTCGCATCTAATGAATGACGGGCAATTGCTTCTCTGAATGCATTTGAATATACAACAGGATTAAATGGTGACAGGTTATCTGCAATCAGCTCAGCTGCAAAAAGAGTTCCAGAGTTATAGAAACATTGCAACATTTGGTGCTTTTTGGCCAATGTTTTTGCTAAGCTTTTGTAGTTTTGTAGTTTTCTGGCACACTTCTTAAAATATGAGTGCTTACTCTCAAATCTGAGGGTCCAAAGTCTCATCAAAGGTCCATACTTTAGGATAAGTTCAGGGTAATGACTGATGAAATGGTGCTTTGGCCGAAGCCTAACATTTGGAAAGAGTCTCTTTCTCTCAAACAAATAATCTTCCACAACTGAATTGAGGAAAGCTACCAATGACATAGAAAATGACTGACTGCACACTATCTCTGTTAATTTTTTCATCAACAGGAAAAGACACCACACACTGTCTTCAGTATCCAGTATGTATTTTCCAACTAACAAGGGGAATAATCTTATAAACACCCAATTTTGTACTGCATGCCCTGTAAGTTTATCACAGTTATGTCCAACAGTGCAAGGCTTGTCTAATGAATCACGTCCTCTATATTTGAATTGCGCAATACGCCTATTCAACTGGTCAAATGTGAACCAGTTTTTCTCTTTCACAAGGTAAGTAATGATCAGCATAAGATCATATGGCAAGATTCCTTCAAAAAGATCATGCCCCAAGCATGGTGGTAAACCATTTACCACATGGAAATGTGTAAGGTTATTGAAATCTGAATTTTTCTTGATGCCATTATGATGAGGTACCTTGTCATCTGTAACAACTTGAACACTTTCCTGATAATTCTCTATAGTCCTCTTGTAACCGCTAGCTGGATGATCCCCATCAAATGCTTCACTCTTACTGATAATGCAGTATCTACAAAAATAATCTGCTGAGAAACTCTCTAGATAGCCTCCAATCATGTGTGATCCTAGATTGTCACCAAGTATACAGAACAATGAGCCTTTAATGAAAGTTCCATCACCAATGTCAAGTCCATGAAGCTCTAACTGTCTTAAATCTCTTAACAGAGGTTTAAACAATTTGTCTGAACCAAATTGTTTCAAATCTTTCTCTTTGCAGAGAATTACTAGTTGCATGTGATCTATATTTGATCGTCTAAACACAGGGTAATTGCCAAGAGTGAAATATACACCTAGAAGTTTGTGTTTTCTGCGAGCAGATCCTAAAGGGTTTACCACCTCAAAGGCATCTTGGTAAAGTATGATCTGAAATAGTTTATCCCCGCTCAAAAAAAATGAACTTTTCTGATAGAGTGAACCCTGATGAATGTCGATCAATTTATCTGCACATAAAGCCTCCCTGTTTTCAAGATCATGAAAGTTTATGAACTCCTTGTGGTAAGAATATAAACATGACAGAGTCTTTAGTATTGGTATGTACTGGAAACTGGACTGATCCCCACTGGTCACACTGTCAGATTCTAACACTATTTCTTCAGGTGGAACATATGTAAAATGTTTTGTGTAGAAACTTGTCCTACATTTATTTGACCTCAGTGGGCCATTATTACATTTGGAAAATACATCAGACTCATTTATGTCATTTTTCACTTGCGTAATAACTTCAGCACTAACCCCAAGCAATAAAAGTCTGTCTTCAATGTGTTTTTCAATAATCTGAACACTACAGTCATGGAATGATTGAAACTCGTGTATTATATCTTGAATAATTGAAACTGGCAGCAAATGTTTAGCCTCTAACTTCATGTAAAATTGCGCAACATTTCGTAGAAAATCTGCCTCCGAAACTTCTAAAAATGTACTTTCATCATCATTAATTATATCATAATTAACAGAACTTTTCTCACTGGGCATCTCCTCAAAATTGTCAGTTTGGTTTTCAGTTTCAGCTCCATTATTGCGGGTGGCAGAATAAATATAATCTGATGAAATGCAATCCAAACGCTGATGTTTGTGCTTTCTGGACAAATGTGACGAAAATGTAGATATTTTGTCACATTTCACCTGGCAATGTCTGAAAGGACAATTAACAGAATCTCTCTGTCTAATATGTTGTCGCAAATGAGTCAATAGGTCATCAATAGACGGGAATGTTGAGTCACAATTGTCTCTCCTGCAGCAAAGTAATACTGCAACACTGGGTCTCACTGTCCTGTGACCTTCACCTTTATGATCGCGGTGAACGTGAGACCTGAAGGCTGAATATGTTTTAAACTTCCTTTTACATTGTTCATGACAACATGGGAACTGTATATTTGGAACATTTCTGTGAATTGCATAATGCACTACATAGTGTCTGAGGTTATCTGTCTGAAATTGGCAGGATTTGCAAGAAAGCATGGCCCCGTCATTGCTCGGATTAGCGATACCTCCAAACTCACGGCCGTAAAATGTTGACAAAACTACTACAACGCATAAAATAACTATTTTCATGTTCCACAAGATCTACGACCATTTTGCCAATATAAAGTTATACCGCTGTTGTTGTTTTTCGGTCGGATTTGGGGGCCACAGTCTTCTTTTCTTCCCGATGACAAAAAATGGCGGCAGGAAACAAATATCCCATGATGCATTTGGATACGGTAAAATACCGTCACCCTAATAGTCGCGATTGCGAATACAACAGTGGAGTACCGATTTTACGCGAAAGTACCGTAAAACCAACGAAACGGGTACGACAAGAACGGTATTGTACTGTTTCACCCGAAACAGTACAAAAATGTATCGAATTTACGCGGACTTACCGTAAAAGCAATGTAACGTGTACGGTAAGGGTTTACAGTGCATGTCGGTAATCGAACCCGGGTCTACGGCGTGACGGGCGAACGCTTTAACCACTAGGCTACCCTACCGCCCCGATAATGATTAAGATTGATTGCTTGCTTGTTTGTTTGATGTTCTGGGGAATGTTCATTACCATACGCCATGGTTGGTACCCGAAAAAGATTATGAGGGAAAATGCATTTCCCTGACTATGCTAGTATATTTCACATAATTCTTGACTTCATTCTTTTGAATATTAATAACATGTTTAGCAGTGTAAATTTCACAATTAGGATGGAATGCATTTACAATAAATTTGATAAATTAAGAAAACTAAATTATGCACTTAACTGTACTGGCTTAAATTTCGACAGTGCACCTCATGATAATAAGACGGATTTTCTTAATATCATGAACGGTAATTTAGTAATTTTCAGTTATCTTAATTTGCCTCAGAATTAATGCTTAAAATCTGGAATATGTTCTCTGATACAAAGCAGCCGCCATGACAAGAACAACCAATGAAATCTTGATTCATCTTCTCATGTTGCTCAGCAGCAAAAAAATACATCCTGAAGTTGCGGATAAGAAATGTCACATGACACGATATTTCCCCCCCCTCATCTGCCCAATGTCATAAAACAAACATTTGGACAACAGGATTCGTTGGAAGAGTTCCGCCCGTTTCCACTCCTCCAAAACATATATATATGTATGCATTGCCGCTCAATCCTTGTAATTATATATATTTTTGAGGGAGGCTCTTTCCAGGATCCGTTAAAAGGTGAAATTAATTTTGTAAAATAGTGTTTGAAGTAAAGATTTGATAAGAGAGCCATTTACTAAGCCTTCATCTGCCATCGATCAAACTTAGTCGCCTTGTACGGCTGGCAATGGCGTGTCGAGAACATTCTACCCCACAGAGAACAAGTTTGAAATAATAATATGTAATGGTTGCATGAATACTACACTGTCGTTCTATAATTTTGTTGAAATTTGAGGAACAAAATGAAATCACAAAAACTTATATTTAAAAATAACATTGTTAGGAAGGAAACATACGAAAATAATGAAGTATAAAAATTATGAAAGTTATTCTTAATTTAACATTTGAAAAAAGCAGTCCATTTGCTTACACTAGATCTATGTATTTTAACTAATGCATGCATGCAACATACCATCGACTTCGTTCAAATCATTAAGCTGTGAAAGCGGCGCTGTGCTGAACATACCCCTTACCCACTCCCATGTCATTCGACTAATCACCAAACCACGTGTGTGTCCTGAACGTGAGGTGCGCATGTGCAAACAAGCTTATCGCGTTTAGTCACTCTTCACGACTTGCACGTGTTTTGTATGACATGGCATGTTACATAAAGTCATCGTTGGTTGAAGAAGTTGACTGAATTTATTGCAGAAATACATTTTTTAATATGTTTACCTGAAAATACCATGATGTTACTTTTTTAGTAAGGGTGGATCGACTATGAAGAGTAAATTTGTGCAATATAAGCGAGGTGAAATGGGGTTTAACGTCGCGTTTAGATTATTGCAGCGAAGTGAATGTACGTACGTATGGGGCATGTTTGGCTGCTTATAGTGTCCGGCGTCCCTTGGGCACGCCAGAAACCTATGATTGTGGGTTCGAATCCCGGTTCGCCCCGGTTATGTTTCTAGGTTTGTCAGCACCATACCCGTGCTCGTGGGTTTCACCGAAGTGGTAAACGTCTGAGACCTGCATCACTTCGGGCTTTCCTCACACATTAAGCTGACACGCCGCGATATAACTGGAATACTGTTAAAAGCGGCGTTAAACCCAACTCACTCACTCATTATAGTGTCCGGACGAATGCTGATTTTATTGTGCTAGCCCACTGAGATACCATACCGCAGTTTAACACTGAATTATTGAATACTCAGTTCAGACATAGTACACGGACTCCGAGCCGACCATTTCTTCTTTTATCTCCTAAATAAAATCGAGGAAATTCGTGGCTCGGGGTTTGTTAATTATTTCCACGAATGTTCTTTTGGGGGTCAATTCATTCACTTGAACCACTTACATTACATTCTTGTTTTACGTTTTTAGCTCCGGCTGACATCGAGAGAGCTGATGTAAAGTATCTTTCTCTGTCGCCTGTCCGTCTGTAGCAAACTGTAGAAAAAGCTTTGGTTGACTCTTACAGCAATTAGTTAGTTCTTCAATCTCATTAAATTTAAATATTTTACTCCGATACGACACCTGCGTGAAAATCGG